GACTGAGCTAGCCGGGCGCAAGTGCGTCAGACAATGCACTTTGTGTGTGGGCTGCCCGGCTGGTTGCCTTGTTCACCGGCCGCGCTGTCGCCGCTTGGGTGTGGGTGGAGCGGAAAGGTGGTTGTCTGGCGACTCTTCGTCAGGGCTGTTTGCGCACGCCATTGAGTCGGACCCTGACAACCTCTTCTGCTGAAAATGAAAGAACTCATTTTTCCATATACGGGAGCAGTTTTCAGTATAGTTGTTTACTTCTAGGCTCAGTTCTTAGATAGCAAATGCAGAGCAGAGGGACAGAGTCTCAACGACAATTTTGAGAAAACTAATACTCCTCTGCCCGTTCTGTTTCAAGTCTTTATATTCATTCATTCTGCTATATAGATATAAAATGTTCGAACATCTTTTGCGTACGACTTGACAGAGAAAATTGACGGCATGTTTCGGGTGTTTGTATATATGTTGGTTTACGCTCGTTATTTTCAGTGGGGTAAAACTAATTACTGCCTTATAAGTTTATTACCTAATTTTATGGCACAAAACTTAGCATACATGCGAAATAGAACTTTCTAGACATAATTCGCTCTTCTGTTCCCTACAATAATGCGTTATGTCATAATTAAACTTATATCCATTTCATTAACGCAGAACAAAATGGGCTGTCCTCTGAATACATATAATTAAAAAGTTTTTGGTCTTTATTAATGTTCTTTTATAGTACAACACGTACAAAGAAGTTCTTTTCCGCAGCGTTTAATAGCGTAGGAAATTCCCTCGATATCAACAAATGTTTGATATGGGTCCATTCTGCCGCTATTTGTCCCCAGTATACGGATCTGAACAGAACTCTTCTAGTATACAGCATTTTTCGCCTAAAATAAACTCAATCAACAAAACGAACAACCTCAAATGTGTATTAAATCCCCTACTCAAGTGTTGATCCTTACATTTCATCCAATATACAATCTACTGTATATAGAACGCATGTCTTAGCCTCCCTTGGTCCCTTCTCTTATAGACTTCCCCTTTCTCCTTTTGCAGATTGCACAAGCGTGAATGCCATCAGTTCTTCCACTCAGGCGGCGACGGATGGCGACACTAAAATGCAACTACTGGATGCCAAACAGTCAAAGTTTACCAGGGACTGGCTTCTCAGTTCGCGAGACGATCTGCGCCGGAAGTATGAATTTGTTCTTCTCGCCAGCGTCTCCAATGAATACGTCCTTCCGGACATCGGAGACAGTCGTTCAGCTATTGTAGCTGAGGCGCTGCGAAACTTCCTCCTTGTAAGCGACAATCATGTTTGTTGACACTGGGTTTAAAAGATAAATTTCCCCCCTTTATCATTAGTACAGCCCCACCTTTGGGTTAGTCAAACCTGTCAAACCAATCAGAGATTAACTCCGCGTTTTAACTAATTCAGTTTC